CCTCGTGTTCTCGTGTAACGTCATCATCAACTGCCAAAGTTCAGTTCCAAAACTCAAGACCTCAAAAACGGAGGATGTGTGAAAGTTCCCGGATGTGTTCCTGATATCGAGGATGCATCAATGCAGACTTGAGTGCAAAACTTGCGTGAGAAATCCTAGAAGTCATTGCGGCCGAATAAAGGAGGTGGAAAGTGCAGCATTTAATTTAGGTTGATTATTAAAGTTCAGAGATATAATTTATTTTTTCTCAGGAGTAAAGTGAAATAGTGAAAGTAAACATTACCATGAACATCATTCTAAAAGAATAAACACATTAGGGGTGTTAGTTTGCTGAAAATTGTATAAAAATCAGTTTTATTTATATTGTGCAACATATATTTGTAAGGTCTTTATGCATATTGGGAAAAGGGTAAAACAATAAATCATTGTATGAATGCTGCACTGTTGAAATAATTATCTGTTAAAAATGCGTGAAGGTCATCATGTGACCATTAGGAAGAACCAGTGAGGAACGCAGAAACTCATTTCTCACAGGTCGTATTCTGTTCTTGCGGTCTCCTGAGTTTGTTTTTCCGAGGTAATTTGGCAAGACCGGTCTTCACAAGAGCGCAAGTCTGTTCTCAGCGTTCTTGGATTTGAGAAACAGCCTACGGCTGAAACTAGCAGACTAATTTAGTTTTTGGCTTAAGTTAACAGACTAGTTTCGTTAATTCTGGCTTACGTTAGCAGACTAGATTAGTTTGTGGCTAAAGTTAGCAGACTAGTTTAGTTATTGTCTTAAGTTAGCAGAATAATTTGTTTTGGCTAAAGTTAGCAGGCTAGCTTAGTTTTAGGCTAAAGCTAGCAGACTGGTTTAGTTTTTGGCTTAAGTTAACAGACTAGCTTAGTTTTTTGCCTAAAGTTAGCAGACTAGCTTAGTTTTTTTCTGGCAAAAGGTAGTATAATAGTTTAGTTTTTGGCTTAATTTAGCACACTAGCTTAATTTGTGGCTAAAGCTAGCAGACTAATTTAGTTATTGACTTAAGTTAGCAGAATAGTTTAGGTTTTGGCTAAAGTTTGCAGACTAGTTTAGTTTTTTGCTAAAGTTAGCAGATCAACTTAGGTTTTGTCTAAAGTTAGTAAACTAGTTTTTGGCTAAACTTACTAGACAACTAGTTTGCTAATTACACACAAAAACTAGTCTGCTAAGTCGGGCTAAAGTTAGCGGACTAGTTTTTGGCTAAACTTACCAGACAACTAGTTTGCTAATTATAAAATAGAAATAGATTAGTTTAGTTTTTGGCTTAAGTTAACAGACTGGCTTAGGTTTTGGCTAGCAGAATAGTTTATTTTTGGCTGAAGTTAACAGATGTTTACTTTTTAGTTAGTAGACACTATATTTTTGAGTTTACATATAGCAACAGCTCTGGCTTTTTATTTGTTCAGTTTTTTTAAATACATATTTCATGTCAAATAAAAGTTAATGCTATTTAAAGAAATATTGAAGAGCAAAAATCACCTTTGAAGATTTTCATATAGTATATTTTATTTATCTACACTTGTGTCTCTCCTGAAATGGACTATTAAATGTATTGAATTCATATTTAGTCAAATTTAATAGGAAAAAAACAAACTTGCGATTATTCTATGCATTTGACCAAAACATTGGTATCTGTATCAGAATTGGCAGACTTTTTTAGTTGAAATTGGTATCATATCAGCCAATAAAAAGGAAAAATCATTTTGGTGCATCTGTAATGAACAGCAGAAGGTTTGCTTAAGGATATAAAAGGACTTAATGAAATCAATAAGTGTTTCGACCATGAATAAACTGCTTGTAAGATGTTGCATTTACCTCAGGAAACCTACCTAATGTGTACTGTTAGTTAGTAAAGAAAATGAATGAATACATTGTATTCATCATTTAGGGCCTACTCACACTATGCCATCCGTACCGTGCCCAGGCCCATTTCTCGGATCGTTTGATAACTGTGAGTGCGCTGAATCGGGCTTAAGCACGGTTCACTTGGGTGGCCCTGGCCCGGTTGGAAGAGGTGTGCCTGAGCCCGGTTCACTTGGAGTGCAAAACGCGCCAAAGCCCGAAACTGAAAGCGAGACGTGACTTTTAAGGGACTGTTTCATATGGATTTATTAATCATTCTTACTGTTCAGTGATCGCAAACTGCCGTAGTTTATTAAAGACGCAAACCCCTCACTGCACGACAGCTGCGCTCCTTCAGCAGACCTCCTCATTCCTGCAGCACGAGAGATTTATGATTGTTTATGAGCGCCAAAAGTGGCAAATCTGTTCAGCGAAATATCTGACTGCGTGTCCCCGCATCCCTAAGGGCTGTTTGGCGAAATATTTGACGGCATATCAAACGACTGAAACAATATAACTAGAGAAATCTCCACTGTGCTGCTGAGTGAGAGAGCGCTTCTCACTGAACAGCGCAGCAGTGATGACGTAAGCGTGCCGAAGCCCGTTTGTGGTGTGAGCGCGGGCCGTCGGGGAGATGGGAGGGGGGACAAGCGGGCTTTGGCCTGGTTCGAGTCAACTGTACCTAATGTGAGTACGGCCTTAATGTATGTTTGAATAAATCTGTCTTGAAAATCATCTTTGTACAAAGTAAAAATCGATTAATTCGGTAAATTACACTTTTTTCCCCAAAAACTTTTTAACTAAAACAATGAAAAATGCATTTTATATATATATATATATATATATATATATATATATATATATATATATATATATATATATATATATATATATATATAATTATTATTTTTGTCTTCTATTTTATTCAATGAAAGTAATTTCATTTAGATTTGTGTCTTATCAGTTTTTCTCAAATGTTTTTTTTCACCCTATAATTTTTTTAGAGCATAAGTTCATCACAAGCATCAATACGTTCATCAAAAACGCCAATCCTAACACTGTATCCAAGATATTCCATGCAGCTTCCGATAAGATAATGCCTTTGTGAGCATATTAAGCTGTAGTCCCTGACCCAGAGCAAAACACACCAGAGATTTGATTTAGGTCACTCGCTGGATCTTATTGCCCCCTGAAGCATGTTATCTTTATAGCGAAGCAATGTTTCATGTGTCTTTCAGATCAAAGATCAAAAAATTAATGTCGGACTTACTATCTTAGGAATCAAGACAGATGGAAAAATCATAACAAAAAGTGATTTACATAGGAAATGGGTCTTGGTTTTAAACCACTTGCCGTGGGATTTCATTGTGGGCGCTGTAAAACAATGCAAAGCGATTTAAAGTAATAAAAAAGGAGGAGAGTAAAAAAAACTGCTTTACATCACAAAAGGAATTGAAATGTGAATTCAAATGTGTCCACCGCGCGCACCGAAAGGGTTAAATGATTTTCTTGGGCGCTCTGAGCGCATGACTGACGTTAGGGGTTCTATAATCGTGACGCGCACCAATCAGCGTTCGGTCAGCAAGCCCCACGTGGGGCGTTCTTGGCTCCGATTGGATCTCTCAGCCAGTGTTGATTGTGGCTGGGTCAAACCCCACGTGGAGATTTCATTCAATCATTGTACAGTTAGCTGCACCCTTATTTTTCAATCGAAGTCCTGTGCATAAAATTAGAGAACGTGAGAGGAACGTGTGAATAGCCGACAGAGACGAGCTGCTATATTTAAACCACATCACAAAATACGGCGTTTATATATTGTGCTCAGGAGTTTTTAGTAGTCTTGTTTAAGGTGATCATCACCTATAATTTATTACCTAAAAGCCTTTTTTTTGCATAAATCATCAGGAAAAAACATACACCACAACATAAAAGGTGAAACATAAAAACTAATATAACAAAGGTAAAAAAAAATAAACAAATATAAATAACTCCACAAAAAAAGTTTAGCATTTCTTCATCCAATGATTTAAAAAATTAACAGAGGAATCAAAAATGTGTTGTAATAAGTGATACATATCTCAGATTTTTGCTTTTTAAAAACAATTTCACAGTAGAAATAAAAAAGTTAAACTCGATACAAAATAAAAACGTTATGTGGGAAATGACTTAGCAAATTTCTGTTTGTGTATGTAATTTTTTCCCAATTAAATAAAGAAATTAACAATATATGGAAGACTTTGGTTGGATTTGTTTTCATAATAAAAATAATATAATTAAGATAAAATTAAATTTTTAAGTTTTGTCATGTTGATAATATTTTGGCTAGATCCTTCCAGAAATTGCTTACAATGTTGCATTCTAAAATAAATGACAAAGGCTCTCTTTATCTGCATTGCAGTAAACACAGATATCCTCCATTTCAATGTACTTTGATAATAACCTAATTACTGGGTAAATTGTGTGTAGTATTTTACAATGAATTTCCTTCCATTCCGTTACTAATGTGTTTGTTAGCATTTTGTTTTGCATATGACGTCATTGACGTTTGTGTTTGTGAAATTTTGTGGGCCTACCAACTTACAACAGGCAACTTGTAAACAAATGTGGATAACATGCATTGATATTCTCAGACGTTTAAAGATGTTTTAATGTCTAAATTGTGTTTGTAAAGGCTTAAAATATAAATGTTAAATTCTGAAGCCCAAACTGTAACATTTTCCTCAAAACAGAGCGTTTAAAAACACTCATATGAATATTTGAAATGCTTTATCTGCCATATCAAGTTTGGTGTTTAACAAGATGCAGGTAGCCATTTTGTTGTGATGTGACAAAAACATGTATGTGAAAGCTAAATAAGTCATTTTCATAATTCAAACACAGAATTTTTGAATATGTCCAATATTTCTCTTGAATATTTTGTGTATTTTAGTCATACAGCTTTACTTGATACTTTGCATATGTACTTGGCAGTTTTACCGTCGTCATATCAGAATATTAACATGAAATGTATGCAAACAATTCTTATACCATATTTTCTATCATTTCTCCTAATCACGTGTTTACTGTTGCCCCACATAGGGCAACATAAACAAATCAATCCATGCATTTTAGGGGTTCCTACTTCCACCGCAGCCTAAAATGAGTGTAACTTGAGAATTTAACCCTTTGCTTCTTGTTACCACAAGCCAAGCCCTCTCTCTCTCTCTCTCTCTTTTTTTTTTTTTTTGCACGGGGGGGCATGCGTTTCTCTTGAAGAAAACAACTCGCATGTCCCATTGAAAAACAGCTGAGGATCCGAAAGGAAGGAGCGGATGAGGAGAGAGAGAGAGAGAGAAAGGGAGAGAGAGACAAGCAGACAAAAGAAGCTGCGGCTGCGTTGAGTGTCGCGTCTTGGGAGCACGATAGCTGGCCATCCACTTGGTTTCTTTATCATTTTCATTAGTAAAGCACATCAAGGGCGGGGGAGCTCTGAAGGCCGAGCGCGTGCATTCTGATATTTCGAGGTGCATCGTATTGAGGGACTCGATACCGGACTGGGCGCATCTTGTATCGCGCGATAAAGCAGAACAAAGGGAGTCTTGAGCGAGGAATGCGCGAGCCGAGCCTGGCGCCGCCGAAACAGGGCCAAATGTTCTTCTGAGACCTGGAGAAAGGCGCAAAGTCTCTCGAAACATCATTTAACACAGCATCGAAACAGACGATTCTCAAACCGCAACAAACCACGCTATTCACCATGTTTCCCCAGAATCGACCTCCGGTAAGTTGCCTCACTACTCAGTAAAATGACCGTCTGCTTGGTGCGCAATGCGCTTTAGTGCATATCATTGATAAAACAAAGTGTGTTTGTATCCTTTGTCTCATCATTTTGGCTAAACGTTCACGTGGATTGCAATTTGAGCAATTAAGATTGGATATAAGCGAGAGACCGTAAAATGTGCTTTTGAATTAGCCTGATTTCTGTCCCAAAAATTCAAGGTAAACAATGCATTAAATGAATTGAATTGTTGTGTTGGATACCACTTTTCCATTATGTTATTGTTGTACCACGTCATATTGTAGGCAGATCTTAGTACTGTTGTACTTCGTGATGAATTGTAGCTACTACAAGTTTTAGTAGAGCTTTTCATACATTTCATTTGAAATATCAGATTGTAGTACTACATGAACCTCCACAATGCTCGTATTGATTTGTTATTTTTACATATATATTTTTTTAACTTATGGCATGTAACATCTCCCAAAGAAGCTTGAAACTTCACAAGTATGAATAATCAAGATGCTTGGCTTATTAATAGGTGCATTAGATCTCTCATGTCTCAAAAGTTCTGTCAGAATATATAGTGTATGGTAAATAAGTGTTAGCCTGGTTTCTGTGTTCAATGTTTATATCATGTTTATGTGGTGTTATTTCGGCAACCATAGACTCTAGTTATCATATTGACGTTATTGACTGTTAAAAAAACATATTTGTTGACCACTATTTAATAAATTATTCATTTATCATTGAACACGCCTGACTGATTGAATCAAACTAAGTGTTAAAATCCTTCCTGAGATTTCCCTACAGTCACCGTGCACCCCTCCCCCAGCACCCCTAACCTTCCCCAAGAATGCTTTGACATTCATTTCCTAAGGGATGGAAATTAGATTCCACTGGGGTGTGCAATTTCGTGATCTGAAGGAGATGCACACTACATAGGTGAAGTATTTAGGATTTCCACCCCTCTTAGTTGTTGCTCTGTGGTGTCTATAGGCTGCTTGGTTCTTTTCTTATTTCTTCTTAGAATGAGCGATTGGTCCAACCTGTTTTTCCAGGGCACTCCGCTACTTCTGAATACGACCTCTTTCCACTCACCTTAAACAACCTGGGACATGAAGAGGTGGTTGGCATGTGATTCAGCCATGTTTTGACATTTTTAATAAGTGATCTTCTTCGGTCCAGATCATATCTTTATCTGTTAGTATCCATATACGGAATAAAATCTGAAGAGTGGCGTTTAATTAATTTGATTAAAAGCAAATATGTCTAAATGAAATTGGAAAAAGATCTTATGCATTAAATAAAGATGTTGAAGCAGACATAATCCACCCACACATTCCTCAACAAGTAAACAAGGTTAATATTTCAGAAAATTGTCACCTTGTTTAAAGAATCAGTATAATTCGAAACCGTTTGTTTGATGCAGGCAGAAATCTTTAACAAGGTGGCAAATTTCATGCTAATTAATCTGTCCGGCAGTATTTAAAAGTCTTTTTATTATTGAAAAGAAGAGTAAGTGGTTGCTGTCCACCATATAACTTAAGGCTGATAGGGAGAGTCATATCTAAAAACATAAGGACTTTTGTATTCGGGTAAAAGAGAAACAGAATGTTTGCACTTTTATTGCAGAATACAGCCTGGATTATTAGCATCTGATACTGGTCGTCTTGGCTAAAACAAGGCTGAAATTGAACTGTCAGTGAAAATCTAATAGACGTCTAAGAATAGGTTAAAACTAGACTAGTCGTCAAATAAAAAAAATGAATGACTACACGCATAAAGTACGTCTATTTGACTAGTCTAGTCTAGTTTTGGGCTATTCTTGGATGTCTGTTTACATTTAGATGTCTATTAAACACAAAATTGTTTGCTGGGCTGCATTACTACTTTCTTTATTATTAAATTGTGTGTAACTGAACTACCAAATGGAACATCTTAATTGCCAGTTTGAAATAGTGGGCAGTTCCTACTGCTGATTGGTCCTAATTCTGGCTTCTGGAGGGATCCGCTCCAGCTAAGATATCAATAAACAGTGGAGCACCAACATCCTTCCTGACACTCTTGCTCTTTCCTCCAGCCTACTGTTTTCAGAGGAATCCGAGTAAAATCAAGGCATGGCCTGTTCCGGCCATGGCACATGCCTTGGCACCCTCAGCCATGAATCGAAGCATTCTGGACAAGGTTTGCAAAAGTCATTGGAAGAAAGTGCGGAATTCCTTGAAACTGAAAGAACAAACAGGCTGCGGGTTACCTCATAAAGGAAGCACCGAGAGCAATTACCACAGCTGACAAGCCAACGTCGCGGCACCGCTAATGTATCCTGACAGCGGGGAAATTTGAATAACGAGCTTGCGGAGAGGGTAGAGAAAAGATGTGTGATGTTAATGAAACAGGTGCCTGGCACCATACTACACCCCACATCCCCTCCCCCGTCTAAGTAAGGGATTACTGGGGCATTCCTTAAAGCTCCATGCTGCCGTAGAGTATGGAATCAATGAAACAAGGCCGCGCCTAGGTCAGATTCCCTGGGTGGTTCTTTTAAATGCAAATGGATGCTAGTTGTTGACACTGTAGTCGAAAGATTTTATATGCAATCCCTGAACTTCAAATGTTGCAGCAGAAAGCATGGCCTGGTTGCTTGATTTTGTGTACACCTAAAGAGGTTTTTCATATCGACATCATATGGTTCAGAGATACAGAAAGTGCTTTCAGTTATTTTTAGCCTCAGTCTAATTTCTCTTGGTGAAGATGTTTGTGTGAATTCTTAACTTTTTTTTAACAAAAGCATGATGATTAACAGACTCGCTGATTCTCAAACGCTTCGCTTGGTGACTACCAAGAAAACACACTTTAAGACAGGGGTGCTCAATACTTTTCCTGGAGACCAACCTGCCTGTAGATTTCTGTTGCAACCCATATCAAACACACCTATCTGAAGTGCTGTTTAGGTCCTAATTAATTGGTTCATGTGTGTTTCATCAGGGATGGAGCTGAACTCTGCAGGAAAGTTGATCTCCAGGAACAGGGTTGAGCACCCTTGAAAGAGAAAATACAGCTGTTTTTAAAGCACAGTTATAATTTACACAATGATCTCAGCAACAAGTTAAAAACTTTGGCAAATTCTAAACTGGGCTGTGTAGCTTTTCTCTGGGAATGGAAACGTCAAAGCTGTGGTCAGATCTTTTCAAGTGATTTGTGTGTGAAAAGAGAAACAGCTTTATCAAAGGTTAGGCCACCGTGTTGACAGGTTTTGGGATGTCGGTCATCATGGCTGGCCACAGCATTTCACAGACTATGTAGCAATTCTCGGATGTAGGCCATGTGGGAGTCTTGTAGGTCCCTCAGCCAGACCTCTGACAGAAAGAAAGAAGCTGTGGTTTGGATAGCTCAGTGGACATAGAAGCAGCAGTTCTCTCAGTGTGTATGGTTTTTGGAGTGTTTAGCAGTGTCTTCTTCATTTTGTGTCTGAATAAGTGGGTGGGCAGGGGATTTGGGAGATCATTATGGTTTGATGCAACATAACATGTAATTAGTGGGAAAGAAATGAAAACATTGCACACTCACACTTTCCAAGAGTCATTGTAAGTGTGGTAAAGAAATGTATTTGGACATGACTATAATGTATATACCGGGCTTTTCATAGTATCTAGACAGCTCAAGCTATAATTTTCAACAGACTCCAACTTTATCCTGAGCTGTTTCTCACTAAAGGTCATGTGAGAACTTCTTAGTAATTCGTTTATATTTAAAGTCCAAAATGACAGATTTTGCATAAGTTTTAAAGCATTACTCCCTTTTTCTTGTGTGACTTGTCAGCATCGCATAATGAGAGATGTAAAAAGTTCAGTCAACTTGAGTGTTCAAAGTTTTGCTATAATACAGATTACGGTCATTGTGTTTACGGTCATTGCCAAGACAAGAGTGTCCCACAGTACTGATAATGCCACGTTAAAACCTAGTTGTGAAACTGTCGAGGTGAAGTGAACCATTTATTGTGACAATCATCAAAGAAAGGTGCACAGAATTTACAGCCAGTTTAGTTTGGGAAGTGTGTTAGAAGAGGACTGAATCAAAATGGCTGCTGTATTGAGACTGGACACATGGAAAGAACCACAATAAAGGCCTCTAAGGTGACACTTTGTGGTTTCGGAAACCTGAATGTCTAATTAATGAACATTCAGTCTCCAAGAAGCTCCATGCGACTGGCCCTTTGGTCTCAGTCTTTTAGTAAAGGCCCGCTCTTTGTCAATTCTTTTTTTTCTTCTTTTTTTTCCCCGGAAGTCTCTTTGCACCTGTACGCAAAATTCAATAAAAAAAGGTGAATATCAGAGTGAGAGGCTGGGTGGGGTAGAGAGAGAGGAGATAAAGAGGAAGAAGGGAATAGAGCCAAGTGTCATTCCCCCTTCTTCCCGCCTCCCCCCGTCAAATGGCCTTCCTCCTCTTGTTCTCCAGACTCTTTTCTTTGGCCTGTGAGAAGTAATTGTAGTGTGTGTGTGCTCCCTGCTAGGCTGGAGCTGTGAGAGCCTGGGGATCTGGACAGCAGATTGAAATGCAGGGCTGGAGAGAGGAGCTCGTTAGAGACTCTAACAATGCGCTGTGTCTCCCATGAGCCACAGGCCGAGAGGCTCCATTCTCCCTCTGTAGTTTAGTCCACCCCCACCCCACCAAACATCTCCCCCCTAGTATTCCAAACCTCCTGCCCGACACAGGGTGACCCCTTTTACCCGCAGACACCCTACACGCCCACCCCCCATTGGATATTTGCTGCTACATCTGTCCCCATCCCTCAAAGACGAGCTTTAAGCTTAAACTGTCCATGTACTGTTTTAATTCTTTCAGTAATTCCTGGTTGGGTTAAAACCTTTTCTAGCGTTAATGCAGGTCACACATGCTCATAACACCCTGTGACACTTTGCCAACAGTTAGCCTCTCAAGTGTTTAGCAGTAAATGTGACCACCGTCAAAACCAAATGCTCCATACTAATTGAAGTAATGGGGCTTTATGCACTTTCACATTTGATCAATCAGGTCCCTTTTGGAGATTTAACCCTCTTTGGCTCATTAGAAAAAGAGCTTCTCGTGAGAAGTGCAAGGACGCCTGCGAGGTGGCAGTCACAAGCTTGAGGACCTCCATCAGCAGAGGTGCTTGGAGACAGATAGATGGATGGACAGGTTCTACTGTACAGTGCATAGGCTTTTGTTTGCCTGTCTATCTGCATTACCCTGAGGCCAAGCTCTTAATTGCTGAAGTTGCTGGAATTCAGTTTGCTTGGTGGGGTCCCACCATGATGGGATCCTCTTGCACTCTCCTCTAATCCATTCTTCATTTTAAACATAATGTCTTAATTCTAGCACAGAGCGTGGTCCCCACCCCAATCCCCCATCTTTACCATACCCACAGCTTCTGTGATATAGACATACATCTGTCTGTAATGCTTTATCCCTTTACAATGGGCCTATGTCATGGAACTACCCCAACCCCCATCCTCTCTCATTCTTTCGTTGCTTTCTCTCTCATCCTGGGGAGCTTGTCTTTCATCAGTGTCCTTCATGTTTGCCTTGTGCATAGCACACTATCTTGTTCACAGACCTCTATGCATTGGGTTCTTCATCAAGTTCATGCTGAGTGATTAGAAGCTGTTCTCTGAATCATCTGATTTTTGAAGAATGTATCATATCACAGTTTTAAGCAGTTTCATTGTAAGTAAATATTTTGTTTGTGCACACTTGGCAAATAAAGCTTATTCTGAAATAAATGTTTAGGTTTTAAGTCTGAAACAATGCTTGGTACTTGATCTATGCATTAGAAACAATCAGCCTTTCATGGGAATTTGCTTGCCAGGAGGTTTTGTGTGTTCTCTAAACACAACACCCATTCAGTTTAAAAACATTTCAAATTCTAACCCTCCTAATTTTCTCTACTCTAGGCTCCATTGCAACCTCCACCAGGATCCTCAGCTTCAGCTGCAGCAGCAGCAGCTGCGGCCGCTGCTGCATCAGGGTCAACACAACCTCTGAAACTCACTTACCCTGAGACCCTAGACCGCATAAAGGAGGAGTTTCAATTCCTGCAGACACAGTATCACAGGTACAATACCCTTGCTAATACTCGCACTTGCTAAGCTCTAAGATGACCAGTGTCAATATTATTGGGAAACATTTTTCCCTAAGCCTGTAATTTAGTCATCCCATGGGAGCATATATTTTGCTGAATTCCTGATGCAATGTAATTGTAGGAACAAGAGTACCCAAAAAGATTGCAATCTGAATGTGTAGGCTGATTAGGTTGCTTTTTGGGGCTTGTTTTATGTTTACCCAAAGATGTTTGACTGCCCTGACCAGCTTGACTAAAATGGTAGACTTCAGCTGTAACTGCTGGTTATCCATCAACCTTCTACTCAATGCAAGGTCAGATTCTGGTTCTCATTGGCAGTTTTTTTGTAGAGTTCCAGCCTAAAATGCACCTTAACCTACCAATTAAGCTATTTTAGATTAATGAATGTCCACCCTCCAAGAGCTGTATTGGACACCCTGTTCAACATGAGCTATTCTCTGGCCGTGACCAGCCAGTCAGTGTTTAAATTGGCTACCAAATAAAATGTTTTATCTGAAATTTTTAACAAATAGGACATAGAAGCTCAAGCTTTAGAAAGGGGAATGCCCATGACTTTCTCATAACACACATGTGCACCTTTAATTTGGTGGGGTTGTGTTTGATGTGCACTCTGAGACTCAGGAATGTGGCCAGACCAGGCATGACCCGTGTGGGATTTCTGGTAGGTGCTGGCATTCTCTTCTGCATGGTAGTCCTTGCCCCCTCTGTGCATTTGCACACCCCTCCTTATCATTGGCAAGCCTTCACACGGCTATGGCTTTGATTCCCCATGCCAGAATTGGCAAATCCACCCAGTACCCACATTCCTATTGTTAGGTCTCTTCTGTTCCTGTCTTCAGAGTTAAATAAGCTCAAACATCCTCTGTACAAACAGAATTCAGCTATTTGGAGGGCTGCTGGTTTTACACGTAGATTTGCCTATAACTGTATTTGAACAAAAACGTTCCTAGAAACCAACATCTAAGCAGTCATCTTGCACACCTTTTTAATTAAATTCGATGCGTGATGGTGCTCTCATTTGGCTCTATATCAGTCCCCAATCATAGTTAAGGGTTGTTCATTTGTTCTTGGTTGAGTCATAATGCTCCATTATGAAAGGAATCTGACTCGAGTCTGAAACAGAGAGCCAAACACCTGTACTTTTATTATCAAATTGAAGTCGAAGCAATTTCTTGTTTACATTTGTTGGATGGTAAGAGCAAAACATAAAGAATGAAAGATGTGCATTGGGTATGTAATTGAAGCGTTTAATTCATGCTGAAAAAGATTGATGGGAAATGTTGATTGTATGTGCAAACCAGATGCCTTAGAATTTAGCTGAAAGAGCAGAATTTCCTAACAAGCTTCGTCCCTGTTTTTTTTCATCAGTGGTGCTGGCATTGTGTTGAAACCACACCATGCACTCAAGATTTACAATTATAATCAATACCACTTAGCATCTCGCATTAATCTTTAATTGAGATGCCCCAACTCAAAGTCTGGACTCTAATCACCAATTAGCAAACTGAATTTTCTTACATGCAGAATTCTATACCATTATTTTAAGTCAAAGGGTGATTTTTACAGTTTGAAGTAAAAATCTTGCTAGCTCAAGGACTAACCTTAATTAGTCCTTGAATACCACTTTTGAAGAAACACTATGTAAAGTCTTAATTTGCAGACCATCTTTAGGTCAGTGAACAAGATTAGCAGAAGTCTTCCCATGGTGCTTCAGATTCGGCATTTCCCATAAGCATTCTCCTGCCACAGGGCTGGAACTGCTCCAGGTAGAACGTGGCAGGCACACACGGGAGACACCAGACAGGCACAGACAGATCTCGGCTATACATGGCGTGGCTTAGATTTTAATTTTAGTTCTCGTAATTTGTGTCTGGAGGCTGATTGGTGTTGGATTAAAGGACAGGAAAGAGTCAGAGCTAAAGAGATTTGGCAAGATGAGCCGGGGAGAGGTGTGTTTGTGTGTGGGCGCTGGTCTATGGGAGAAACACACTTAGGTCGAGGTCAGGTTACAGCAGAGGGTCCAGCAGGAAATGTGAACTGGGCAGGAACTGCATAACAAAGAGAGCTGCTCCATACGGTGTTACCATGCTGTGTCGCTTGCAGCGTTACACATGTTTTTGCGTATGTCTCTGCGTGGTCATGATCGTGTGTTTAGGTTTGGGTGTAGAAGGCCTCTAATCAGCAGGCAGGAGGGTTTTAGACCGGAGGTTCTCATTACGGTAGTTCTTGCTTTGCCCAGCCCTTTCCAAACACACCAGCTCACCAACCTTGCTAATGTGTCCTCTGGGTTTGCTATGGCTTAGACATAAAGACAAGCTACCCACAGACAGCCACCCGCACACAAACAGCATTGCGCTAATACCCATTTTACCGTCTTTGTGCCCAGACATAGTGGACGTTTTAGTGGATTCTAGGCATCTTTATGATGAAATCTGGGGTTTGTGGTTTAGACCTACTTTGCTGGATACATCTGGATGTGTGTGGCCCGGCATTCCCCCATCCAGCGTGTGTATTTAAGCGCATGTGTTTGTGGTGGGTGGTTTGGTTCGCAATTGCACTTTAATGTCGATGTGTGTCAGACAGAGTTTATTTTATTTATTTATTTATTTTTATCAGAAAACTTTGCTGTTTACTTGTACTGATGAAGGTTTTCTCCATGTGGAATAATGCACTAATAATAATGTTTTATTGGCATTATGTTTTTCCACCTTAATGAAAGCAGAGGTGCTTACTAGAGTTGTGGCAAATTCTTGTTCGAAAAATTGATTCTGCATTGGTTCTGATCAATTTCAAGATGTATCGCTATTTGCATGAATGCCGTTTGCTATAAACATTCTTGTTATTTGCTTAAACCACCTCAACTGTATTAGAGTTGTCACAATACTGGAATTCGATACCAATCAAGACTGAAATGTAAAAAAAAAAAAAAAGTCCATTTCCTGCAAACATTTGAGCAGCGTTGAGCACGTTCTTAAAAAGCACTGATTTGCCATTGTGTTCACGTGATCAAGCGAAGAGATCGATGAGAAAACAAAACTGCTTGCGCTTTAGATTGGCTTGTAAAAAACTGAGGCTCAGGGTAGATTCTGCTCATCTTATTGGCTTTGTGGCTGTTCATCAAGACGACATCAAAGTTTGTTTGAGCTTGGGTCGACCATGGCTTGTTGTTATTATATTTATTTATTATTACGGTGTAATGTTTCGGCTGTGTGATTTAAAATGGCAGTTCCTTTGTTTTCATTTTTCTGGCTCTTTTGCAACCCCTTAGTTAGGTACCCTTAGGTACCCCTTAATTGTGCTAGGTACCCTTTGCAAAGGGTACCTAAAAAAATGGTACGTTATGTTTCATTCTTAGGTACCTTTTGACAGTGGAAACGGCCATAAAAGCGTACCGAACTGTACAGTACCGTATCACTCAGTAGAAACGGGCCATGAGTGTAACCACATATGCAAGCAGACTGGAGAGTTTTAAAGTCATGTTGATCAGCTGGTTTGTCCATAAGCTGACATAAGAGCGACCCGCTGACGAATCGCAGCTTTAAAATGGTGAACCGATGACCTTCACGGCCAATCACAGTCATTTTTGTTGAGTAGGTAAACACAATGGCAAATCAGCGCTGTTTAGGAACATGCTCATCAGCCCTCAAATGTTTGCGAGAGATGGACGTTTTATACATTTTAGTACTGATTGATATCGAATTCCAGTTTCGTGACAACGCTAAACTCTATTAATGGTTAGTTTTCGGTGTTATTTGTAAGGAATTAGACGCAAGCAGAATATGTCTGTTTGTAAAGCATACATTGCCATCTGCTGTTATGAACTAAGCTTACACTGCATATTCAAAATCTCACAATTGATGCAGAATCAATTTCTCTAACGATTATTTGCCACAGCACTACAGCATACAAGAGGGGCTTTCACACATAAGGAACTACTGGTGAAAGCACCTAGCATTTTTGGTAATGTTGGACTGCAGGAATGATTTTAGTAATAGGAATGCCTTGACATTGGTGGGACTAAGTTGAGTCTTATCCTGTACAAAAGGAACTGAAATGACTTAAGTGAGTGCTGATTAGCATGCTCTATGAAAGACTGACCGTTTTGAATACATTGAAATAGAGCTGCACAATTAATCGTTAAAAGATCGCGATCTCGATTCGACCCCCTAGACGATCTTAATCCAGCATTTCTACGATTCTGCCAATCATATTTTCAAGTTCAGGAGAGAAAAAAAGGCAGCAGCACGAGTCTTTTCATTGTTTCACATACGTTGCTCAGTGACATTGACACCTCCAAATGATGTTGAATGAGTCACATAATGTATTTATGAGGTATAATTCACCTAAAAATGTCATTTTTGTATTCATATAATGATGTTTTCGCGGCCGGGAAATCACACGTGACGTGAGCTGCTGACCGTACGCTGTTATCACAGAGAGGGCGTGCGCGCGTCCATCATTAAGTAGAGCGCGCATGCCCTCTCTGTGATAACAGCTTACTAAGTCTACTTTAGTGAACTGAACCTTCATATGTTGTGAGTTACAGGTAATACAGTTGTAAATAATATTCAGTTTGTGGCACAGAGTGATCGTTTGGGAGCTGTGTGCGAAGTATGAAAAAGCACTTAGCAGTCAAAATGAAACCGAAAGTGTGCACTTCATTTAAATGATCATATCGCATTTTAGAGTTATGATCACGGCAAGCATTTGATATGTTTTTTCTTTTATAGCGAACACACAGTTGTGCATGAAAATAAAGGTTTACAATGTCAGTATAACTACTCCAGCCTATATATTTTTGAATATAATCTGATAATGGCAAATGTTTGATTTTTACCAGTGAATAAATTCGTCTAATATGACAGATTGCAAGCATCTATCTCAAATATAATAATTCAACATCATAATTATTATAAGTAGAATAGAATTATTTATAAAAACCAGTAGACCTACACATTGTTATTATCGATGTT